TTTTTTTGAATGTCCAGAGGACCAGATTTAACTTTTTTAGATTTTTCTACCTGGATTATTGAGCATGCATCAGGATATTTAACGTCTAAACATCTTCAGACACAACAGGTAAAAAGAAAAAATATATATATTTTTTAAATAAAATCTAAATTTTACTTTCTAGTCAAGTGGAATGCAAATTTTCTAATTGTTTAACAGTTTTTAATTAAATAATCTAATTATCCCACACCAGCATCTCTGAGTCTGAGGTCCTGGGCCTTAAAAGAAAATGGTGGATTGTCCTCCCTGGGTTAGGAGTGAGGTTCTGCCTCAAGTGGAGGAGTTCAAGTATCTCGGGGTTTTGTTCATGAGTGAGGGAAGAATGGAACATGAGACTGACAGACGGATTGATGGGGTGTCTGCAGTATTGGGGACTCTGTGCCGGTCCGTTATGGTGAAGAGGGAGCTGTTTACCGGTCAGTCTATGTTCCTACCCTCACCTATGGTCACGAGCTCTGGTGGTGACCGAAAGAATGAGATCATGGATACAGGCGGTCAAAATGAATTTCCTCTGCAGCGTAGCTGGACTCTCCCTTAGAGATAGGGTGAGAAGTTCAGTCATCCAGGAGGGACTCAGAGCAGAACAGCTGCTCTTCCTCATCGAGAGGAGCCAGGTGAGGTGGTTCGGGCATGTCCGACTGGGAGGAGACCCCGGGGAAGACCTAGGACACGCTGGAGAGACTAATCTCTCAGTTGACCTGGGAATGCCATGGGGTCCTCCCAAAGAGCTGGAAGAGGTGGCTGGGCCTCCATGCTCAAGCTGCTGCCCCCAAGACCTGACTTCAGAACAAGCAGCTGATGGATGGATGGATGGATGGATGGATGGATGGATGGATGGATGGATGGATTGATTTAGAGTGGGAACTTAAAGCTTTAGTATTTAGATCTTTGATTGTCTAAATGTTGAGGTCGTCTAACGTGAGTTTTTTTTGTTGCCAATGACCCAATACAAATTTTTAAACATTTTTTGTCAATATGAATTTTTTAATTGAACAAAATTCAACAATAATTGCTTAACCTAAATAAATATATAATAGCCACCCTCAGAAGAACTTGCATATTTAGAATTAATGCACAGAAGAGGATGCTGGTTTGAAAATCTGAATAGTGAGCTACAGTGAACTGGTTGAAGCAGCTGCAGCATTTCTATTTTCTTACTTTATAAATAATTAAACAGCATATTGCCAGTAGACAAGTTTTATCAAGTGGCCAATGGATTAAAATCAGCCTGGTGGTTAAACAATCCATCTATCATAGAGCATCCAAATGTCTAACCTCTGTTTCAGACAAGTTAACAAGTTAATTAGGTTAACGATCCTGTTTTGTACAATTAAAAACATAAAAACTAACCAATAAAGTTTTTAAAATTAACCTGTAACAAGCCAGAAGCAAGGAGACAGACACTTGTTACACAGTAACAAACTGCAGAAATATTAATCATGGAAGTGAGCTGTTTATGAGCGCAGTGGCACGAGGAAGGAAAACACTCTGGTTTGGTGATTC